TAGGATGAGAGGTCTCCCACAAGGAGCTGCCTCCACATCTTCTGCCCTAACTTGATGACTTGTGTCCAAGTGCTTTGGACAGTGCTCTGCAGTTAGGTGAGGCTTGCCCTCCTGGCTTCAAAACCCGGGAAAAAAACAGATGAACTTGAAGCATTTGGGAAGAATGTGTTCAATCAGGCTTAGTAAATGTCTTTAAAAAAAAAAATCAGCTGATGTTCAAATACTGTTCCTTCCCTGTGGCTCCCAGGACATGTTCCAGTCTCCAAGTAAATCATGGAACCTCTGAAACCTCTGCACACATCACAGTCATGCAGCAATAATGCATGAGAGAACAGTTCCTACCACCAAAAAAAAAAAATCATTTGTGATGGCCCATAAATCAACAGAGTGTGTCATTTCATATGGCCAAGGGCTGTGAGCAAGCAGAGTGCTGCACAGCGAGGTGACAAATTCATTTTAGATGTCAGAAGCAGCAGAACTTTCCAGTCAATCTCTGACTGCAGTGACCAAATTCAGATTTACAGATCCAGCAGATTCGTCTTGTTTTATTTTCTATTAATTCATTCCACTGCAGATGAGAGAAAAGAGAAAATGCCAATACCCTGACCTGCAGCAGAGGGAAGGAAGTTAGGGGTAGATGCCTCCTCAGCAAGTTCACTGAGGACACAAAGCTGGGAGGAGTGACTGATACCCCAGAGTGATACGGGACAGTACCCAGAAGTACTGGGTGTTCAGTATGGGAATACCCCAGAGGGATGTGCAGCCCTTCAGAAGGACCTCAACAGGTTGGAGAGATGGGCAGAGAAGAACAGTCTGAAATTCATAGAATCATAGAATCAGCCAGGGTGGAAGGGACCTCTGAGATCATCAAGTCCAACTCTTGATCCAACACCACTGTGGTTACTAGACCATGGCACTAAGTGCCACATCCAGTCTTATCTTAAAAAGCTTCAGGGACAGAGAATCCACCACTTCCCTGGGCAGCCCATTCCAATGCCTGATTACCCTCTTTGTAAAGAATTTCTTCTTAATATCCAACCTAAACCTCCCATGGCAGAGCTTAAGACCATGCCCTCTTGTCTTACTGACAGTTGCCTGCGAGAAGAGACCAACCCCCACCTGGCTACAACCTCCTTTCAGGGAGTTGTAGAGGTGATGAGGTCTCCCCTGAGCCTCCTCTTCTCCAGGCTGAACAACCCCAGTTCCCTCAGCCTGTCCTCATAGGACTTGTGCTCGAGTTCCTTCACCAGCCTCATTGCTCTTCTCTGGACCTGCTCCAGCACCTCAGTGTCCTTCCCGGACACAGTACTTGAGATGTGGCCTCACCAGTGCTGAGTACAGGGGAAGAATCACTTCCCTGGTCCTGCTGGCCATGCTGTTCCTGATGCAGGCCAGGATGCCATTGGCCTTCTTGGCCACCTGGGCACACTGCTGGCTCATGTTCAGCTTCCTGTCAATCCAAACTCCCAGGTCCCTTTCTGCCTGGCTGCTCTCCAGCCACTCTGTGCCCATCCTGTAGCGCTGCAGGGGGTTGTTGTGGCCAAAGTGCAGGACCCGGCACTTGGCCTTGTTGAACCTCATCTCGTTGGAATCAGCCCAACTCTCCAGTCTGTCCAGGTCTCTCTGCAGAGCCCTCCTGCCTTGCAGCTGATTGACACTCCCCCCCAACTCAGTGTCATCTGCAAATTTGCTGATGATGGACTCAATCCCCTCATCTAAATCATCAATAAGGTAAATGGAGGGTCCTGCACCTGGGGAAGAACAATCCCATGTACCAGTACAGGCTGGGAGCCAACCTGCTGGAAAGCAGCTCTGCAGAAAAGGACTTGTGAGTCCTAGTGGACAACAAGCTGTCCATGATCCAGCAGTGCCTTTATGGTATCCTGGGGTGCATTAGGAAGAGCGTTGCCAGCAGGTCGAGGGAGGTGATCCTGCCCCTCTATTCAGCCCTGGTCAGGCCATACCTGGAATGCTGTGTCCAGTTCTGGGATTGCCAGGACAAGAGAGACACGGAGCTCCTGGAGCAGGTCCAGTGGAGAGCCACAAAGAGGATTAGGGGACTGGAGCATTTCTCATATGAGGAAAGGCTGAGAGAGCTGGGCCTGTTCAGCCTCAAGAAGAGACAACTGAGAGGGAACCTCATCAATGTCTATCAGCATCTGGGGGGAGGGTGCCAAGAGGATGGATCAGTCTCTTCTCAGTGGTGCCAACTAATAGGACAAGAGGCAATGGGCAAAAATAGATGCACAGGAAGTTCTACTTGAACATAACTTTACTGTGCAGTGACCATACATTGAAACAGATCATCCAGAGAGGTTGTGGAGTCTCCTTCACTGGAGATATCCAAGAACTATCTGGACACAATTCTGTGCCATGTGCTCTGGGATGACCCTGCTTGAGCAGGGAGGTTGGACTAGGTGATCCACTGTGGTCCCTTCCAACCTGACCCACTCTGTGATTCTGTGAAGTCAGCCCCTCTCTAATCAATTGGGAGAACAGAAAAGGAGGGATGGGTTCTTCCTAAAGCCAACTTGGCATTCACAAGGCAAAACACGGCTGCATGATACTCCTTTGGACAGTGGAAAATAAAATATAACATTACTGGGGACTGAAATGGTGGATATTTGTAACAGGGAAACCATAGCACCAACTGCTTTTGATGGGCTTGATGTCTGGATCTGTCTTGCTGTGTTTTGCACACAGATCACACATGCACCTTAGATGTTTCCAATAAAAGCCTGACATCTCTCCAAGGCACAGCCATGAGGGGCAGGCACCATCTCCACCTCCTGCTTTCACACAAAGCTCAGATGCCCCTTGCTGTCATGGGTTTGGCTGCAGAAAGCAAAAGCCCTGCCTGGGCACATTTCTTCTCTGGGCTTTTACTCCATCCCCTGTGCCAGCACAGGAGCATCAGCAGGACATTTTGTCTGGATGAAAAGCTGCAGGGAAAGATGGTCCACTAAGAGCCTCATGCCTGGGTTACAGAGCAGACTACAGCTGTGTTAGAGGAGCTGGCTTCCCACATAAGAGCACAGTGTGAGGCTCACCTTGCTCCTCCAAAACTGGAAGGAGCAGAAGCATCAATCTGCTCATTCATTTCTTGAATTTGATATCCAAACCTTACCTTACTGGGAGAGAGCAGAGTTTCCAACCTGAAGAGCTCCTGAGTTCCCTTCATGGAACCAAGGAGGGAAAAGGGGAGATGGTGACTTACCAAATCCAAGGCCAAGACAATGACAGTATTATTTTAGCCCCTGCTGTTTTTCTTTGATCTCAGTGAGAAAAAAAGCACACTCTGTGCAAACTTATTAAAGGTTTCCTTCTCTTTACAATGGAAAATTACACCCACTTATCTGCCTCCAAGGGGGATGTTTGCATTTAATTGTCTGCTATTGGCAAAATACTTTGAAAGCCACGCAAAGAAAACAGTTGATAAGAGCTGATCATTCCACATATGTCAAAGGAAGCAATGATCAGGATGTCTTTAGGAGAGCCATTTTTCTCTAACTTTCTCAGTACCCAAACCTGGATAGCACTAAACAGTGCTAAAGTGAGTTGCTGTTAGGGGAGTTTGTGCAGAGGTGTTAGTTCTGCTTCACATCTCCGCGGGCAGGAGGGCCCCATCAGCATTAGCTGATTTGGATGAGCCTGTTATTGGAGAGCAGCACAGTCGCCCCTTGGCAGAGGGGCACTGCAGCTGCCAGCCAAGCATAGGGAACGCTTGCTTATCATCTCAGTGCAAATAACATGCTCTCACCTGATTTTCACAACACTGCCATTTATAACACCCCCGTCTGTACCACAGCCCCCTCCTCTGGCAAATCCCCCTCCACATTGCGAATGTTGCTTCTTCCCCAGTTCAACAACTAAAATAAAAGAACTGCCTTTTGGGAGTGGCAGGGTTGGGGAGCAGGAGATGGAAAAGAGTTATTCTAGGGAAACATCTCTTCACCTATATCCTCACCATTTCCCTCCAGAGAAACACAGCAGAGCCTTTTCCAAACCCTGAGCTGAGCATATATGCATGAGCAAACCGCTTTATTCAGCCCACACCTCCACAGCACTGCTTGGCCAAAGCTGCTCAACAAGCACAAAGACACTGTCCACAAGCTGCACGAACTGGTCCTATTTCACTCAGGGACCCCCAGTTCCAGCCGTGTCCCATATCTGGCAGCGTCTCCCAGGCCAGCTGCATCCAGCGCCCTGCCTGGGTTTTTGGTGGCAGACAGCTCCCTCCAGTGGGGCGTTTGCGACCACACCATGCACACTTCTTCCCGGAAAAAAAGAGATAATTCAGATTCTAACCCCCTTAAACCGAAAAAATAGAGAAGTTAGCAGCCTCCAGCTGCAGGACAAGCTGGGGAGGCACCTGTGCTTTACGATTGGGGTGGTGGTGGTGCTTTTTGCAGCCAGCATCCCAACAAACAGCATCCATGCAAGCACCAAAAATGCCGTCTGCATCATTCAGTGAGAGGGGGCCCACCTGCCATAACATGACCAGGATTCTCACCAAAACTTTAAATCAAGTTCTGGAGGTGTTCCTCAGCCAGGGTGGAAGTAACACCCCACAGATATTCAGATTGTGCCAAGGCTTCCTGTAGAGCTCTGCCTGAGTGGCAGGAGAAAGCAGGCAGCACTGAGCGGGATGCAGAATAACTTTTAATTTCTTAAATTAAGCACCAAAACATCTTATTTCCTTTTTTCCTTAAAAAAAAAAACAACAAACTGTTTAATTTTCACATACTGACAGCTCTGTGCAGCTCTTTCGCAGGGTAAATCAGCAGATGTACAGCAGTGTGGAGCAAGCATTTTGCTGAGTGAATATTAAAAAAAAAATTAAATCACAAGACTAGGAACACTGTTGTGGGATATTCATGGTCCATAAAACACAGCAGAAGGGTTTGCACAGCCAGTGGCTTGTGTCAGCTGCGAAAGGCAGGAGTGACTGCGCAGGTCACTGGGGCCACGGGGGGAGGGGGGGAAGATTTGCAGCTCCCTCAGAGTGGAGAAGACTGCTCCAGAAAGACTTGGCACACCTCTCCATGGTGGGCACGGGCACTCCACAGCCACTCAGGGGGCCTGGCCCGCAGCTTCAGCTGGAAGGGGTCCAGGCGCAGGCACTCCCCCAGGTCATGCAACTCCATCTCTGGCTCCTCCACGGCCCTCACTGATGGCTCCTCAAGGCCTGGGCTCCTCCTGGGGTGCCGTCTCCACGTGGCTGTCACACAGAGGATACCAGCAGCCACCAGCATCATCAGGACAGACACGATGGCTGCTCCCACCAGGATGTCAGTGTGATGGAGGAAGAAGCTGATCCCTGCCAGAGAAAGGTCACAGCCTCATCCCAGGGGCCATTGCCCCAGAGGCCCCCAGTGTGCTCACAAAGTCCCCCACATTGTGACTGCAGTGCTCAGGGGTGAGACCTATATCTGTGGGTGCTCCTCTTCTTGTCTCCTGCTGTCCAGAAACCCTCACTTACACCTGCCCTCAGGGCAGAGCATCTCTCCCAAACATCCATCCCAAAGAAATATTTAGACCGAGAGCCAGCCTGCAGGAGCATCACAGGCATGGTGTTACCCCAGGAGAACCCCAACAGAGTAGAGCCATTGTCAAACCCACAGGGACTAAAAGACCTGCTGCCATTCCCATCCAGGCCAGAAGGGACCCTCTCCATGACCCAATGGATAAACATGAATTTATAAAATTATCTATACCTGAATATAACCAGCTGATCTGGATAGACTTAGACTGCACAACTGGTTAATTAACTTGCAGTCAGTAGGATGGGTGAGAAATTATACTTGGCTCACAGTTATATATTTTGACTCACATTGAGGTTTAAGCCACTGCAGGGATGTGAAATAGTTTTGGTAAAGCAGCAGCAGAGTTTTGAGTACATATTACAGAATATTGCTGTTTTTCAGGCTGCAAGGCCCCATTACTCTGCAAGATTGGATTAGCCATCTCTGATTATAGTCAAGCATCATGTGCCATCTGCTCAACCTTGTGTCAAATACATCAGGGGAGCTCTGGAGTAGACACCAGGAACATCAAAGTCCTTCTCACCAAGATCTACACAGTGTGACAGGAGAACACAGGACACTACCAGGAGTGACCAAGTTTGCTGATCACATCAGTTACAGCAGAGGTAGCTCAAATCACCCTTGACCTTGCTTATAACTTCAAGGCTCACGTGCCAAGTTGTAACCCTGATACAGGGAAAGTAGCAGACTGGGGAAAGGGAGGCTCATGGAGAGGTTATAGTGCCAGCTGCAAACTGCCTTGCAAAGATATTATACATCTATATAAGGACATCTAAAGCCACCAGTTCAGTAACATCACATATAATAGTGCACCAATTACTCAACCACACATACAAGAAAACACCCAGCTGCAAGAGAAAGCTGAACTGCTGTTTTGTCCTCTACCTGATCGGGGAGTGCGGATGCAGAGGGTGCCGGACTTGGTGGGAGAATGATCCTCATAGCCCTGTTTGCAGCGGCAGAGGTAGGTGCCCACGCCATTGAAGCACTCTGCCTCCTCCCCGCAGAGGCCAACCCCGGCATTGCACTCGTTCACATCTGTGATGGGGAATAGGTGCCCTAAGTCAGATCAGACTTGGCATAAAAGGGCTTCTCCCAGGGGAAAAAAGGTGAACCACCCACCTTCAACAAACAGCGAAACAAGCTGCAGCTTCTCTGCTCCGACTGAGGTGCCAAGCAGCTCCTTCAGCTGGGAGTGCAGGAGCAGAGACACATTCCTCTCCTCCGGCTTCAGGTGCAGCCAGAAGGTGAGCAGGAGGTTGGCATCCCTTGTGCTGCAGGCGGGGGAGAGCCCGGGGTAAGACAGGAGGAAAGAGTCACAGCAGGCCCACCAGCTCCGATAGCACATTTAGACCTTCCACCCACTCCTATTGGATCGTGGCGCTGCAGGCTCTTGCAAAAATTATTCGTGACAAGAGGCAGTTTTGTACTTGGACCAAGGGAAAAAGGAAAGCCCAACTCCTCATTTGGAGCTAGGCTGAAGTGACTAGACATTTGTGTAAAGTGAATTGTAGTGGCAATCTGAAGTCCCAGATAAGCCTCAGCAAAGTGTGGAAGGACCTTGCTGGCAGCTCCCAGCTTTATCCAGCAGGCTTTGTGGGGCAAGTGTGAGAATTCTCATTTTTCTCCAGAGTTTAAATCTATCTTAGACCTATGTAGGCCTCAGCTAGCACTAAACATCAGTTTTCACCATCTTTCCTCTAGAAAACAAATTATTTTTTTTTTCTAATTTCAGGACAAGTTACAGATCACAGGAGAGGAGAAAGCACATGTGTCTGCCTGGGGAAGGAGAATGAGAACGCAGACAATACAACCAAAGAAATATTACAGGTTGTAGCAGTCACCTGCCAAGACAGCAGCACAGCAGTAACCCTACCTTTTGACATCATTTAACTTTATTTCATTGACTCTGTTGGCAGGAAGTTTCAGGTTCTTCTGTATCTGCAAAGGAACAGAGTGACCAGTGCTGATTTGATATTTGACAGGAGTATGACAGCAGTTTCTTTTCTCAGTCTAACTCCCCATCCTGCTCTTCCCCTTCACAAACCACCTGGGATGCAGTAGATGTCCCATAGCCCACCGCTCTAAGCTTTTTGTTTAGGAGAATACTAATTATTCCCATGTGCTTAGCTTCAGCTCAAGTCCCAAACACAAAAGTGAATTTGGAAAAAGGAAGGGCAATAGTAGCCCCAAGTAAGTGGGTATGAAGGCATTGGAGAGCAGCAGTTGAAGGATAGCAGCTTTCTAGGCGAAGCAGGAGGCTGAACCCTGTAGCTCCTCCAGTCTGCATTCCAGAAAGGAAGTTTAGGTGCAGCCCTGAAAGCAGATGCTCGCCCACTTACCCACTTCTAGGCTTTGGCTACAAGCTGCCCCATTTCCAGAGGTGACTTACAGCCCTCAGTTGGTTGTATCCCTGTATCTGAAGTGCTTTTCTGCTGCCTTGTGATGGCATGGTGCTATGAAGGGCTAAATACCAGGCACTGCAGCCAGGCACCCCTGCCAGGGCATCAGAATTGGCCTCAGATGATGAACAGCAGAAGCAAGTAAGATACGGGTTCATCATGTGCTTTAGCAGAAAATCTCTGGAATGCATGGCACAGCATGGTCTCTTCTAATTAAAGATTTGGGACATCACATGTGTTTTTCTCCACCTCCCCATACCCAGACTTACATGGTTCTTCATAGATTCAAGAAGACCCTTTCGGAGCTCACTTCCACCATGAGGAATCCAGTCCTTGGGTTTGACTTCCATAGTTACTTCGAACAGCACATCTACAAGAAGACACAAGATGCTGCACGTTCAAATCCACATAACACCAACAGGCTCCTTAAATGAGTTAGTCCTAAAACATCAGCACTAGCAGAACAAATCCATAAGGACATGCTTGTGCAAGTCAGTGCCACGTGGGTATTTCCAGAGGCTATGCATCAGGTAGAGCAAGTTGTTGAGTAACAGGTGAAAACAAACCTTAGTTGATGCTCATTGCTGAATACAAGAATTGATCTTTCAGTGAAAAAAGTATAAATAATGCATGTCCAATCACATTCACATGTCTTTAGCTATTCTGTTTCCCAAAGCTATGGTCATAATTTGCAATGGAATCTAAAAGCCCACTTCTCTCACCCATCTCTGGGATGGGCTCAAATAAACTGCAGTGGTCTGGCTGAATCCAGGCTGGCCCAAATTTTCCAGTCTGCTGTTTAAAACCTATTTATTCATCAATATTTTTCAGATTCAGAGCTCAGACTCCTTCTGTATCAGGTCCTTTTTGCAAGCTGTTTCTGTGGCTTGCTCTGCCATAGAAGCCCAGCATTATGCTACCTAGTTGCTAGTCCTCCCGTAAGGGGGTTTTGCTTCTCTCCCTGGTCTGAGGAGCAGGACTTCTGCAGGTTTCTGGTTCCAGTAGTCAAAAGGTGTCCATTGGAATGTATTGGAGGAATTGAAGTTCATTCACCTTAGAAAATTCTTCTTTAAATAGCCAACAAGTAATGCTTAAACTTGAGCAAGCCAGCATTTATGACAGGCATGTGAAATCAGGTTTCTCCAGGAGAGGTACAAAGCGGTCAAAGCACAACTGTGGGATTGCAGTGATATCTTAAAAACTAACATCTTCAAAGTGGCTACTACTCAGAAACAACCCCCACTGATTTCTAAATTTAATGAGCAGGTGATGTCCGGCACAGCCCCAGTCAGCTCACTGAACTTCGGACAGTGTTTTAAGACACGCTTAGCATGACTCACCTCCGGGATGGTGCTGGGACTGCAGTGCTGTGCCATTCTCCAGAGATGTCAGGGCAGAAACTAGGTCTGTCAAAGAAAGGAAAAGCATCAGGCTGCTGAACTCAATGTACAAGTAATGGGGGAGGAAAAGGACATGAGGTCTTCGTCACTTTGCAAGAAGAGTGCCACATGCCAGCTCCTTTTTTCCAGTTTTTTCTATTCTTTATACTGAAATTAAATATCAAGCTCTAAATACAATCTACTCTTCTCTGTAGTGGAAAGCGCTCTTTAGAAAGAAATCACCCCAATAAACCCCATTTCCATTTCTGGTTGCAGATGAAGTGTTATCCCTGCGAAGCCACTGGAGCTGCCTTGAAGCCCAACAGAGCAAAACTGCTTGTGCATTACATGCCAGAAAATGTAAAAAAAAGCTAAATAAAATGTACAATGGAGGGGCAAGAACAGTTTGGAGGGGAGGAAACACCAATTGAAAACATATTCTCTTCTACCTTCTGGCAGAAATTAATGCATATCAGTGGCTAAATATTTCTGTGAAAGTAGTCTGCCATCAACTCCTAGGAGACAAACGTCTTTTTTTCCCCCCTTCTCCAACTTCTGGAGCTCAAACTCTGTGATCATACCTGGGAGCACTGTGACAGGCTACATAGGGATCAATGCAAGCCAGAGATGTTTAAAGCCAGGATAACATTCACAGAGGAGAGGCTGGCTCCTCTGGTTAATTCAAAACACTTGGATTAGAAACCAGCCTGTCCCTATTATGAGTAGTGTCATCCCATAGATAGCCATGTTATAGCAGATAATTCTGTCTTCTCAAGTACCTCCTGCCCTGTATACAGGAGTCAAGAGTGCTACTGCATGGACCAACTGAAGGTAAAAGCCATATCTACAAATAAAACCTCTTAAGAGAGTGATGCATCATTGGAGATGGATATCGCACAGTGTCAGGCATCAGTTCAGCCACAGATAACTCAAAAAACACCTTACCTAAAAGCTCTTCAGTCCTTTCCCCCGGAGACACTGTATCACCAGCAGTCACACCAGGAGAGGGGTAGAGAGAAGGTTTTGTACTGGTGTCTAGTGGTGGCTCTTCCAGCACTGGTGCCTGTGTGTGATGTGTAGCAGCAGCCACTTCTTCTGACAGGCTGTCACTGACCTGACCCAGACTGGATGATTTGTCAGAGACACTTGTGCTGCTGCTGGGCCTCCCTGAGAAAGGAAAACCAGTTGAGTGACTTGGGACTATGGTGGCCAGGGCAGTTACTGGCTCTACATCTCCCTTGGACAGCCCCAAGGCAGATGGCTCAGCTTTACACCCAGTGTCTTGCCCAGCTGGAGCTGTCTCCACCAACACGTCATCTTCAGTTTCTCTGCCCTCAGTGCTACCATCCTGAAGGCTCTTTTCCAGCTTGGTTTCATCCTGCAGCTGACCATCCTCACTCAGGTCAAGCTTGCTCAGGTCAGTACCAAACCGAGCATCTTCCGTGAGATCAGGAGGGTGTTGGGCCTTTCCATCTGGGCTCACAAGATCAGGTTGAATCCTACCACCAGCAGGTGCAGCTGGTGGGCCTGGAGAGGCACTGAGCATGGACACCAAACCTTTTGTTGCCACTGTCCTCCAGCTCTCTTTTTTAGAGGTCTCCTGGACAGGCTCTCGGGGAGCCGCTATGGTATCGTTTGAAGAGCTCACAGCTTCAGAGTCTCTGAATATGTAATACTGTCCCTTAAAATATTTGTATTCATGGCTTTGGGAGCCACTCCCTGACATAAACAACACCTGGACCTCAGTAGCTTGCGTAGCAAAGACCACAGTGCCTCGGTTGTGGCAGGCATACACCACTTTGGTTTCCACACTTGATGAGACCCCCTGGAAGATGATCTTGTCCTGGTTGTTGCCACAGCCCTCGCTCCCCTCAAATCCCTGGACATAGATGACAATGTGCTTCTGGGGGCCTGCCCAGATGGTCCAGTTGCACCAGATGTTGGTTTTAATGTCAGCATGCAGCGGAAGGTAAAACACCCCAGACCCATCCCGAAAGATGAGATGGCAGCTCCTGAGGGGAAAGTACTCCATTGCCCAGGGAGGTCCCAGCTCTGACACATCAGAAACACAGAAAAGAAACATGTAATCAAAGGTCATTATATGCATCAAGACAACATGGATATCACACTTCCAGGAGCACTGCAAATTGCCACAGAAGAGGCACCATTTCAGACACTCTCCTGCTGCAATACTTCTATAGTTTCAGGCCCTGGAGCCACATATCCACTCTACAATTGGAGCTGAGCTTCTATGAGGGGCTGCACAAAGCAGAGCCAATGCCAGCCAGCTCCAAGATAGACTCACCACTGGCCAAAGCCAAGTTCATCATCAATGGTGGCAGCGCCTCAAGAATAACATAATTAAGTAGAGGAAAAAATCTGCTGCACAACAGCAGCCAGAAGGAAGGAGTGGACTGTGTGAAACAACTCTGCAGACACCAAAGTCAGTGAAGAAAGAGGGGAAGGAGGGGCTCCAGGCACTGGAGCAGAGGTTCAGCTGCAGCCCATGGAGGGGCAGCTGCGTCCCTGCAGCAACCCACATGAGAGCTAATGCCCAAAGGAGGCTGTAGCCCCATGGGAAGCCTGTGCTGGAGCAGGCTGCTGGCAGGACCTGTGGCCCTGTGGAGGGAGGAGCCCACAGTGGAGCAGGTTTGCAATCCCACAGCAGACCCATACTGGAGCAGCCTGTTCCTGAAGGACTGCACCCCGTTGAAGGGACCAACACTGGAGCAGGGGCAGAGTGTGAGGAGTCCTCCCCCTGAGGAGGACAGAGCAGCAGAGACAATGTGTGATGAAGTGACCACAGCCACCATTCCCTGTCCCCCTGCACCTCTCAGGGCCGGGGAGGAGGCAGAGAAACCAGGAGTGCAGTTGAGCCTAGGAAGAAGGGAGGGATGTGGGAAAGCTGTTTTTAAGATTTGGTTTGATTTCTTATTATCCTACTCTGATGTGATTGATAATAAATTCAACTGATTTCCCCGAGTTGAGTCTGGCTTGCCCATGACAGTAACAGGCAAGTGATCTCTCCCCATCCTTATCTCAATCCACCAGCCTTTTGTTATACTTTTTCCCCCCTGTCCCACTGAGCAGGGGAGTGAGAGCAGCTCTGGTGGGCACCTGGTGTCCAGAAAGGGTCAACCCACCACACTTCTCTCCAGAGAGCAGGTTATGATGGCCAGGTGGAGATTGCAGGTGAAAGACAGCCTTGGCCTTGCCCTCACCAAGTACTTCTGGCCTTCTGAAGATGGGCTGCACCAAAATTCAGAGTACTGAAAAACCTACCAGCGTCTTTCCATTGCTGTCCTTCTGGCACCTGGGTGTTTCTGGATACATCAGAGGGATCCCAAGGCTTTTGGTCTCTTGATAGTGTTCCTCCCCATGCAGCTGCAGAAAGATCAGGGTGTGCAGGAGTGGTGCTGAAGGAGGCAGTTCTCTGCTGTCCTGCACCCACTGGAAGAGCTTCTGTGGTTTTCTGCGTTTTACATCCCCCAAGGACGGAGGCAGAAGCCAGTTTGTCACTAGCAGCTGTGTCCCGATGCTGCACAGGCACCATGTGCTCCTCTCTCCTCACCCCCCAGATGTCAGACAGGGAAGCTGGTGTCACCCCAGAGCCACTGCTCACATGGCCCTTGGGCAGAGGAAGCCCCACACTAACTCCCCCAGAGCTTTCCAGTGGGGAAATATCCATGAGCTTTGTATGTTGGAGGCCAGTTGTTCCCAGCTCAGATTTAGGTACGGACAAGTGCTTTAAACTGCTTTGGCAGCTCGGGCTTCTCTCAGGTAGCAGATGCAAGTGGTCCTTGTTTACCACTTCATAGTGGCTGCTCAGGCTGGGTGTCAGGCTCTCTGCAAGGCCTTCGGCCTCACTGATCGCTGGGCCATCAGCTGGGATGCTCAGCTGGGGATGGCTCTCACCCTTCTCCAAGCTGACTGTGCTGAGCTGCTGGTTCCTGGTGGTACCTGTGCTTTCTTGGCTTTCCCCTCTGCCAGGGGACACAGACTGCGAGTGTGCAGCCGAGTCCAGGCAACTTGTGCGTGTTGGTTTAATAGTAAATTGTAGGTCACGCAGACCTTTTGGCTTCAAAGTAGCACTCAGGGCAGACTGGCTGTCCTCCAGACTCACACCTGCTGGCTGCAGAAGAGGTTCTGCTGCATGCAAGGTACCAAGCAAAGGAGTTTCCAAATGCACACTTGAAAGCCTGTGCATATAACCAAAACCCACAGTGATGTCCCCACTCACAGAGAGACTCTGCCCCCAGCTATCCTGTGCTGCAGTGGGGATTATACCCTCAGGTGTTCCTGTGCCTTGAGCTTCCTGAACCCCCAGCAGCTCAGACCCCAGCTCACCAGGAGCTTTTGTTTCCAGAAGCGGTGTCTTTGCACGTTCACGTGGGATAAGCTCAACAGGACTTTCCAAAGCCATAGTATCCAGAGTGATCCCTCTTTCCTGCATCAGCTCACCACTTAGCACTGTGGTCTTGCCAGGGCTCATGGTGCTACATGTGGTTGCCAAGCCCAGCACATTTCTAAGATTTTCAACACAGCCAGACTGAAAAATACTGCCTTGCTTTGGTGGTTTTGGAGCAGGAGTTTCAGAAATCCCATCATCTTTGGAGGAAGATTCACCTTCCTGGTCTTGGAAGATGTAGTATTTCCCTTTAAACTGTGCATCTCTGCAGTTTGGCAAGTACCTCTTCAGCAACACAACATGGACAGCCTGAGCAAAGGTGGCAAAAACATGCATCTCCTTTTTCCAGCAAGAGTAAACAACACTGTTTTCCACCAGTGAAGAAACTCCTTCAAATAGAATTTTGTCCTCATTATTGTTGCAATCCTCCTTAGCGTTAAAGCCTTGAATATAAATTATTATATGCTTTCTGGAGCCTGCCCAGATTGTCCAGTTGCACCAAAAGCTTACGGGGAAATCACCACGGTATGCTGGAGGAAAAAACTCCCCATACTTGTCCTTCAGAACTCTATGGCAGCTTCTTATAGGCACATATGCCAATATCCAGGGAGACTCTGGCTCTGGAAGACAAGAAGCGACAACGAAGTTTTCCCCCATTCCCCATTCCAGAATTACTAGTCCTTATTAGCAGAAATTATTTTAAAGGTCACTCTTCTCCCCATTTTGCTACCTCCTGGTCCCATTTGCCATTCTCATCTGCAGGGTTAGGCTATTTAGGGATCAAAGCTAAAGGCTCAGGGAATTGCCACACCTGGGCGAGTTACAAAAGCAGTGAGTGCACTGTTACATTTGGTTTCAACACACAGGTGATGTTTGTTGTTTATACACAAAGATAGGAGATAAAGCTCTCCTGAAGGTGTTTTCAATCTCTTTGCTTTAAAGGGCTCAGCCAAGCCAGAAGCCCTTAAAGCCTCAGCAGGATAAGCAACATTAGTATCTTGTCAAAGTGTGAAGCGCCTTCCCTTAAGCAGGAAGAAACACAGTGTTTTCCAAAAACACCATCTCAAAGCTAGAAGAGTCACAGGTTCAGAACAGGTTTACCCTACAGGAGCATAATTAAAGGTTGGGTTGAACTTTTGCTACTTGTTTTAATTGCTGGAGTGCATTGCTCCTGCCTCCAGGACCTGCCCTGTGGTAGGGATTTGGCAGCCACAGGATAGTGGCACAGGCTCTCTCCCACACTAGCACTGATTTTTCCTTACCCCAGCACCTAATACTGATCAGCCACATCCCCTTCCCTCTCCACACCACCCCAGGGCCAGGTTGTTGTTCCTGACTTTCCATACCACTCATTGTTGGCTTGAGGTACCCAACATATTCCGGGTAGAAAAAAAGACTAGTCTGAGAATTAACTCTTACCTGGTTTAACCTTCCGATATTCCTGAGAGGATCCCTGTGCCTATAAAGAAGAAAGAGTCCTGTTGCAGATCCAAGTACCACTGCCCATGCTTATAATGCTGCTCAGAGAAATGCCAATCCAAGTCTGATGGGAAAGGAGCACCAAATCCACCATGGTGGATTGAGGTTTTGCCTGCACCTGGACCAAGCCCCAAGGCCACCTTGTTTATTCCATGTGATAACAAATCTACACCCCTCCCTACGTCCAGAAGCACTGCCCAATTTACACTGTCGGACCACAGCCAATAAAAAACCACGCCCAAAACACAGCAAGAAAAGCCCAGCTGTGCTTTAATCCATAGAGGCCACACAGAGGAGAGAAGGATTTGTAAGCAGGCAGGACACTGCACCCAAGAAGGGAGTTTCCTACAGGCAACTGAGTCCCCTCTTCCCATCACTCACCCCTGGGGCAGCATCAGCAGCATCAGAGTAGGATCTCAGCATCACCCTGGGAGCCTGCCCACCAGTAGCTGGCCCCCACACCCCAAGCACCAGGGCAAGAAGCAACAGGGAGGGCAAAGGCTTCATGGCAGAGGTTTACCAGAAGCACAACATTGAAACAAGACTACAAAAAAGAGAAAAAAAACTCGACTCTCCCCTCCCTAAAATAATCCGCCGGGCAGAGCAAATGTGGGATCACCACCTTTCCCAGCCTCCCTACAAAACACATCCCCACAGTGGAGGGGCTGGTTTAGCACCCACTCACTCATATATGGCCCTGTTACACCTGTGACAGCAATTAGCTAATCAAAGAAATGAGGCCAGCTGTCACTTGTTAGGGACATACTTGCCCTTTCAATTTGCTGTGCCAGTATTCTTTCTTTGCTGGGTGTTTGGGTGAGAGGGTATTTGTCCATTTATAACACATAATGCTATAACCTGGAATTAAAGTGACGCTGACACCCCAACATGACACAGAAGGTGCTTGCTGTCTTAAAAAAGAAAAAAATGTTCAATTACTGAAGGGGACAAAAAAAAAAAACCCAATGTAAAAGTGAGTGTTTTCATCACAACATTTTAACTGGCTTCTGCTGAAGGCTGTGATTTTCCCCTGGGCTGCACCATTCTGACGCAGGACTGAGTGAAAAAAGGTGAAACTGCCTTGAAATACAAGCACCTTCTCTCCTCATCTACACTTACTGAAGTGTGGAAAGCAAATAGCCCGGGTGATGATGTATAAATTATTAAATGTTTAAAATTCTTTCAGTTGTAATAGTCTAACTTGTCATTAAGGGCCACACGGATTAGGCAGTTAGGCTGCTTGACACGTGGCTTTGACAATATTCCCTTTAAAATGTCAATCATCACTTAGCAAAATAAAATGATAAATTCCTTTTTTTCTTCTAGTCATCACAGCTTGACAGGCTGATGGGTATTCAGGGACAAATACACCCATGGGTTTTATGTGGGTCAAAACAAGCAGTGCATCAGACCGTCCCAGTTGCCTGGGTTTTCAGCAAGCAACTGCATCCCAGTTCCCAGTTTTTAAGCTTTTCCGCCCATCCCAGTGCAGTACCAATGACCAAAAGGGCAGTGAGAGCCTGTCATTCTTGCAGCAGGACAAACCTCTTCCTCCCACAACCATCTGTCTGTAACTACACATGTTCAAAGCGATCCTAAATCCCCTCTTGCAGTCCTGCGGCAGGTGTGGACAGACCTGCAAAGCCCCTTCCACACTTATCATAAAAACACAGAATCTTGGAAAAACACTCCAAGATCATCGAGTCCAACCACTAACTCTACACTGTCAAGCCCACCACTGAAGCATGTCCCTGAGCACCACATCTGCATGACTTCTGAATCCCTCCAGATATGGAGTCCTTGTCCTTATGGGGAACTTCAATCTGCCAGATGTTAACTGAGAACACCACACAGCTGGTACAAACAGGTTCTAAAGATTCCTAAAACTCCTGGATGATAATTTAATGGTACAAGTACTAAGAGACCTGATTAGGAAAGATGCCCTCCTTGATTTGTTACTTGTTAACAGAGAGGGTCTCATGAGCGAAGTGGTGATTGAAGGCCACTTTGGCCACAGTGACCATGAAGCAATCGAGTTTAAAATCTCTGTTGACAGGAGGAAAAGTGCCAGCAAAACCTCAATTCTGGACATGAGGAGAGCAGACTTCAGGCTGCTCAGGGAACTAGTCAGTAAGGTCCCCTGGGAAAACGCTTTTGAAGGTGTTGGGGTCTGTCAGTGCTGGGGTCCATCAGTGCTGGTCACTTTTTAAGCACCACCTCCTAAGGGCACAGGAGCAGGCAATTCCCAAATATTGGAAATCAAGCAGAGGAGGCAGAAAGCTGCCTTGGCTGAGCAGGGATCTTCTTCTGGAACTATGGCAAAAATGAAAGGTGTATGCATGCCTAGTGGAAGCAAGGTCAGGTGATGTGAGAGGAATATTCTCCACTGCAGGGAGAAGATTCATGCAGCCAAAGCTCAGTTGGAATTTGAAGCTGGCCAGCAATGTGGGGGACAATAAAAAGAGGTTTTTAAAATACATTAATAGGAAAAGGCAATGCAGCCTGTCAGGGTGAGGATGATCACCTCACAAACAGGGATATAGACAAGGCAAAGATATTTAATGCATTCTTTGTCTCTAACACTGATAATAAACTAAGGAGGTCCCAGTTCCCTGAGCTGGAGGACCATTCCAGTGAGAATGATAAACTCCCAGTTGACCCTGATCTGCTGCTCCAAGTGGACCCTCATAAGTCTATGGGGCCTGATGGGATTCATATGAAAATACTCAAAGACCTGTCTGGTGCCATTGTGAGGCCTCTCTCAAAGATTTTTGAACTGTCTTGGGAATCTGGAGAGGTCCCAGTTGACTGGAAGCTGGCTAACATTGTCCCAGTTTTCAAGAAGGGCAAGAAGGATGACCCTGGAAACTACAGGCCTGTTGGTCTCACTTCAGTGACTGGAAAATTATGGAGAAGATTATTCTGGGAGGTATTGACAAATACCTGAAGGACAACACAGTTTTTAGTCACAGCCAGCACAGCTTCATGAGGGAAAAGTCCTCCTTGTCAAACCTAATTTTCTTTTATGACAAGGTAACCCACCTGCTTGATCCGGGGAAGAAAGTTGATATAATCTTCTTGGATTTCTGTAAAGCTTTTGATACCATTTCTCACAGGATCCCTCTGGACAACATGTCCAGCACACAGCTGGATAAACATGTCATGTGATGGGGACCCTGCTGCAAAGGAGGGAGGTCCCCAGGGTATCATCTGGTTTACAAGGAGAACAGGAGCATTTGCTTCATATTAGCTTAACAGATGGTACAGCAGAGATAGTGAAATAAATCATAAGGTCAAGTTTATTTTTTATTTGCTGATATGTAAGTATTTGAGTGAGGAATTTTAATGTGCGGGGGAGTTTTTTTGGTTGGTTGGTAGCAATTCTTTGAGTTTTAGCCTATTTCTATAAAAACATAAATTACCCATTAGGATGTTTGGCCCTTTTGACTGAGTCCTCATGCTCAGCAGTTGCTGATTCTTACCTATTGTGGGCACACCTGGCCCAAGATTATGTCTTTGGGAAGAGCTGGTGGGCATGCTCACACTGTGCCAAGTTGCACAAACTCTGCACCATGGGGCCAAAAAAACCCCTAATTGCATGTCTCAGCCTTTTTACCAGCTCCTGCACTCCTGATTCCTTGGGATGGCATTGAGTCTCTCCCAGGATGAGCTGAGGGACTCAACATGACCTTCAGCAGCCAAGCAGCCCTGCAGGCTGCTGAGGCACCAGGGCTGGCCACAGCTGCTAAGAGGGACACAGCCACCTTGGGGGCTGCCAGTGTGGACAGTCAACAAAATTAAGCTGATTTCAGCAAGTGCTCAAATTTCCCCCCCCAGGCAGCATGATGTACTAGGAGCTCCTACTTACAACTCCTCTGCTGACATTTGTAGAGGCACCATAGACTGTCTGAGAGCTTAGGATAGATAAATTTACCATCTGCCTCCCTCTAGTGATTGCATTGCTGAATAAAGAAAAAGCCAAAGTCACTCTGGGCTGGAGTTACTTTTCTTTTCTTTCTTAGGAAATCAAATAACCGAACACTTTCATTTTTTTCTGTTGCTTATTCATGATTCTCTTACGCACCAAATGTGAGTGGGAAGAAGTAAAGGAGGATGAGAAATTAGGATTTTGCTCATTGCCTCACTAAGTAGGATAACTAAGTCCCAAAACAAAGGGT